TAAATACAAAGCATTACTGACCATATTTCATCCTGTCAACCTCATTAGTGACAGTTTAATGCTGCATTGGTTTGGGACATCTTCAATTTGCCAGTGTTAGCAATGGGTTCAGCTAATCAAAGGAGGCAGAGGAAATAACTCTAGTGTCTTGAGTAGTTTCAAGGAGTGGGGACTGTGTTTAATCAGCATGAGCGCTCTGTATCAATAGTTCTAGCAATTTGATCCTAAAGGCATCCCATGACTCAGAAGCATGGGGAGAAACGGAAGGAGAGAAACGGAAGTGACACAGAAACACAACAGTCATCTGGGAGCAGTCCGCACGACATTGTGCAAGTGGAGTCTTATCAGTTCTGTCTCACATCAATGAAGTACAGTCACCGTGTTCATCTCTGGGTCTGCCTGCCCCTTGGTGCCCCCTGATTTCTTGTCATCTCACCATCTCTCACTCTACCTCTGTCTCTCTCTTCTTACATGCTGTCTTCCAGCTCTGTGGCTCCCAAATGTGAGGTATCCGGGAGCAATGTGGTCTTGGATTTTTACATGGTTCTTCCAACTCGGAAGTCTGCTGTCCTGACAACGCCTCCTTAACAGTCAGTGACACTGACCTTGTTGGTTTGCGGTTAGAACGAAGCAGAGAATGTATGTGCAACTGAGTTCCCAGCTCATAGCAACTGTTCAGTAAGTGTACATGCTTCCCCTGTCCCCAGCGTACCCTCGTGACATATTAGAACTCCACTCATCTGCTGGCTTGTTTCTGGTGTGGCCTGCCCTCAGCCCATTTTCAGATCAACCAATAGGGCCATGACTAGCCAGAGCCATTTTTCATTCAATTGGTCTCTTTCCAGCAGTTTCATATGGCCTCTCATTGTAAATCACTCTGGGAAAATAAATGTCCCCAATCCATTAGTGCCTTTCCACCACAAGCCAATCTGAGCCACAAACTAGACAAGGCTTGTTAATGGTCACTTAAAGACATTCCTACCGCCCAACCTGGAGACCCTCAACCACCCTCAGACCTTGCCAGCTCCTGCTCAAGAGATATGACACTATGACAAGATTGATGGTAACAAGGTCGATCATCAGACCTTATCAGCTAGGTTTGCCCGGGGCAATTCAGGTTGCTCCAGCTATCCCAAGAATCATTTCACTTTCAAAAGCCTTCCAGCTTGAAAGGTAGGATTATGTAAGGTAGCTATGGCAACAAAGAATAACAGTTTGGCTGGTAGTAACTCACCGACTATTAGCTGTGTATAGAGCTCTTCCATGTTTTACCTCATTTCAACTTCAGTTCTTCACTAAGGAACCAGGTGCTACAAGGATCTCCATTTTATAGACTAGTCCACTGAAGTTTCAAGGAATCAAGCAACATGGTCAATGCCACCTAGAGAGTAGGACTGAGCCTCAGCCAGACCCTTCCTGGTGATGTTGGCTGCTCGTGGCTCAGAGCTGTCCCTTTCCCTGGAGAGCTGTGCTCCCTCAGACATAAGCACCTCTCCTTGAGAGAGCCCATCCATTCTCCTCAAACAGAAAAAGTAGAACGTAGCCCAGCGTGACTGACACAAAGGCTTCCTGTGTTTCTTGCTCCCAGGATAGACTGACTCCACAGAAGGATCCAACTGGGATCACACCCTCGCTTAGCTCTCTCCTCTGCCCTAGCCTACGTTGCTTATTCCCTTTGTCCTGAAAGTCCCACCCATGATCTCCATTAGCAAGGGACAGAACTATGACTTATGTCTAGGAAGTCTAATTCCTAACTACTAAGCAGGTATGGCATGCTATCGCCTATATGATTATCATGATTAAAATGATTACACCCCAGGGGTCTGGGGAGCTGGCTCAATAGGTAAGAGCACTCACTGACTCTCTCTAAAAACATGAAGACCTGAGTTCGAATCCCCAGCACCACATAAAAAGTTGGACACGGCTGCATGTGCCTGTAATCCCAGCATTGGGGGAAGAGACAGGTGGATCTCAAGAACTCACTGGCTAGCCAGCCTAGCTGAAATGGCGAGCTTCTGGTTCAGTCAGGTTGATTGTACTGCCCCTGTTTTACAGATGAGGCCCAAGAAGCTTGGAGAAAGTAAGACATGCCCACCAAAGCCACATAGCTAGAAAGTGACAAGCTGATAGCCAGGTCCATCTTTCTTCAAAGAGCACACACACACACATACACACACACACACACACTTAAACCTCTTGTTTCATAAACTGACCAACATACAATTTGTGAAGTGGGTCCCCGATCAGCTACTGTTCCTTAGGCACTTCTATCCTTCCAACTCTAAGGCACCAAGCACTGGCTCTTTCTTAGCTACATTTGAACACATCTCTAGTTTGTAGAGAAAACCATATTTCTCTGGGAATAACCAAGGAGTGTCTGCTTAGCCACACATAAAAAGAACAAAGGCTCGGTATTTATTGAAGAAAGGAAGGGAAGCACCCACAGATGCCGAGGGCTAGAGACAAGTCACATTTCTGGAGGCATTTCCCAGGGAGAAAAGGAGAATGGAATGGAACGAGAGCACTGAGGACATGCAGACACGACCCCAACTCTACTATTTATGTGACTTTTTGGGCAAAGTACTCAGTGTCCTCAGGCCTCGGCAAGCTTTATAAGAAAAATATCTACCTCATCTGTCCGTGAATAAGAGGGCAAATAAGATAAAATACAGGCTTCTTCCTGCCTTTTCCCTTCCATTTCTACAATTATAGAGTCACTAACTTGAGCCCTATTTCCTGACTAATACTAGTTTGGATGTAATATGCTTTATTTCCAAGCAAAAAGCATACTTTATTTTCTGATAAAAGGTTTCCATTAAAAACAGAGCAGATAAAAGGGGGACCTTCAGCCATGAGGTCTCTCAGTTGATTCATGAAAACAGAATGAGTCACGTTGGATCTCAAGGCTGAAACTTACAATCAATGGGCCTCTTTGGTCAGCCAATCCCAGCCTGGTGGAGGAGGACAGGCCCAGCGGGCTATCTCCACAAGCTATTCCAATCCTACCTTGCAAACTGATTAATGCTGTTTCTCTCCTGGCAAAAGGAAAAAGCAATCCAGAGTCCTTTGCCATGTTGTAGTTCAAGTGCAGTCCAGGCGTGGGTGGCTTTCTGAATAAGTGGGAGCTCTGTAGTGGTGTGTGTGTGTGTGTGTGTGTGTGTGTGTGTGTGTGTGTGTGAGAGAGAGAGAGAGAGAGAGAGAGAGTGTGTTTATGTGTACAGTTTCATTAAAGAGTAGACTTGTGTTTCCAGCTCTTAAAATCAACCTCTTTGGTTATTTCAACCTCTTGAAGTTATTTCAAAATGTTTTATCATAAATCACCTGCATATATATAATTGTGTATAATGTATGTGCATATATTCATATCTGTCTGTGCTCATAATAGTTTTGATGGAGTGGTTATGGAAGGAGAGTTATTGATACATAATTTTAATTCTATTAGGTAGAAAGATACCTAATCAAGTAAAGGAAAATAATGATCACAGCTCCCCCACCCCAAGATCCCTCCTGGATCCACTCATCTAGTCAATCACTTACTCAGACTGTGTGGTACATCAAATACAGTGCTGGACACTGGTGATTCATTGGTTAAAATAAAAAGCCGGTAAAAGCTCTGCCGTCTGGAATTAGTCACCTTGGCTTCCTAAGAGTTAATAAAAAGAACCCTATAGGATCCCTAGGCTGACTAAAAGCTTCATCTCTTACCCTGAATTCCCCAGAGTAGCCTCCTGGTTTAGCGTCAAACAGCACCAGTGTCACATATGAGGCGCTAGCCAAGGATCAGCACTCACTGCCCCCACCAGCTGCCTCCTAATCTGGCAAGTGGAGCCTGCCTGCTGTCAAAGTGGTGAAGGGGCCAAAGGGAAATCTTCACATTTTTCTTGCCACTAAATTATGTTGGAAAACCTGGCTTTCTTTCCAAGTCTGTCCTGGGGAGGTTTGAGCTGGCTGCTACTTTTAGGGAGCAGGGATAGTAGGGGCTTAGGAGGTCCGGCCAGGTCCCCCTACACCTTCCCAGCTGCTGTTGACTGTCCAGAGAACCACTCCATCAGCTCCTACTCTCCTTGACTTCTGGAGGATGGTGGTGCAATGTCCCCAGGCAGAGAAAATCTTACACATTTATACACACCAGGGAATCCCAGCCGGTCATAGGTCTGGGTAAATTTCTCCATAGGAATGGGACTAGAGGGCCTCTTAGAGTGGGCTCTTCTGAGACCAGAACAGGAGTTTGTAAGGAACATGATCAGGGGTTCCCAGCCATCGGGAAAGCAGACCATGTAGTGAGAGGAGGTGGGCTACAGCCCTGGCCTCACCCTTCATCCACCTTAGATGCTGTAGATTTAACCCTCTTACTTCCCAGATCCTTTCCTCATGTAAAGCCATGGGGAGGGAAAATGTTCGACCCAACTCTGCACCCTGTCCTCATCCTCATCTGGACAATTGGAGGTTAAAAAGCTCATGATCAAGTCCCAGCCACAGGGTCACTTACTGGCAGCTGGGCAATCATGGGCAAATCACTCATTTCCTCTGAGTCTCAGTTTTCTCCCCTTTAAAGGAGGAAAACCTAAGTCACTAGGTTCCAGGAAGTATTGAATAGGATCGTACCTATAAAACTCTAAAAACGGCAGCAGGAATACAGTAAGTCTATGGCTATTATAATTATTTTAACCCTGATAACCATCAAATCCCACCATCCCTCCCCGGACCCCTGTGCTGTCAGCTGGGTGGTCCTGCAAGAGGAACACAGAGCAATCTTCCAGACCCCTGGGCGCTCCCATCCTCCCCATCACCTCAGTGGGGAAGATGAGGACCACCTTTGAGCATCCTCCCCAGGATCCACTGGCTTGGGCTGGTGGGGAATGGTCTCTGAGAGAGCCAGGTGTGGATGCGGAGAGCGCGCCCGCCATGGGTACCTAGGGCAGCATCCCCAAGCCCAGGCTCTCCTACCCTCTCTCAGAGCGCGCAAAATAGACAAAATGAGAAACGAGCGGATACTGAACCAGGCTTTGACGCGGATCTTGAGCTCGCCGTCCTGCGGCTCGGGCATGGTCTTTCTGGACAGCCTTAGCTTGTTGAGCCCCCCGAAGCCGGCCAGCACCACGGCGCGCATCTCCTGGGCATCCCCGAGGCGGTGAGAGCCGTCGCCTCCGCCGCCCTCCGCCTGCTCCTTGCTCGCCTCCTTCTCGATCATCTGCTCGGTCTCCTCCGCCTTCTCCACGCCTTCCTTGGCCATGGCTTGCTGGGGGCCGAGGTGCGCACGGACTGCAGCGGCTGCGGCGCGGGGGTCCCGGCTGCTCTCGGCGGGTTCCTCCTGTTGAATGTGGGATGCTCCGGAGCGCAATGGCTGCAGCCTCCGCAAGAGCCGCGGTCCACGGCGTCCGCCGTAATCCTCAGAGGAGCCGCGCGCGAGCGCCCCACCCTCGCCCTCGCAGCTCCTCACGGCCCAATCCAAGCCTCAAGTCCAGGTTCTGAACAAGTCCCCGGATCGGGCCCTTAGTCACAGTCCTAAAACCAGATTTACCCAAAACTCGTGAGTAGAGCAGGCCTGGAGCGGCCGCCTAGTCCTCTCCGGATGGACGCAGTACTTGGTTATATACGGCGCAGGCTCGGGTGCCTGGAAATGGACAGAGATGAATGTCTGGGCCTGGAGGATGCCGCCCCAGACAAGGTTGCCTCCTCTCCCGTCGGTAGAAGGGGGTGGGTGAGATAGCTGGGAAACTGGGCTGTTTCCCACCCGCTGGTTCTGAGTGGAAAGGCAGGGAGGTGCGGGAAGTGGGAAGTTAGAGATCCATCCAGCCCAGGGCTCTGAAGAGCCGGGGCCAGAGTCTTCACTGTGGACCCCCAGTGTCACTCGGATGCGCGCGCTTTCCTGGACATCTCCCAGGGCTTCCTTGTGATAGCTAAGTCTCAGCACCCAGATCATTTTGATTCAAGAACGGGCTCCGGAATGATCACAAAACCCCAGAACAGAGTCCCATTCTTGCTGGGATCCCAGGAAGTCAGTCACCATCTCTCTCTCTCTCTCTCTCT